TGATCAATCTCTTGGCGTAAAGCAAACACGATATGAGTCAATCCATCGTGCACCTCCACTGTATGAATAGCTGTTTATAGCTGTTTACATCTATGAGTTTGGGTGAATTCTCATCGTCGTTTGAGCGAGGAATTTCAATTTTGAAAGCTGTTAGTATAGATGCGACCAAGTTTTCAAGTTCCATTTCAACTATCAAATTCATACTGATATGATAAACATATTCTGTTACATTGAACTCGGAGAAAACACAACGAGAATCTCATCAAAATGGATCCTCTTCGGCCAGCACCAAATGTAAACTGATCCCACTTTTCCGAACTTCCTTGAGCATAAGTCGCTGCACTCTCTGTAACACCCAAATATCGATCCGGATTAAAGATATGCGGGTTCGGGTATCGCATTAGATCGGAATGTATCGAAAACATGTTAAGGAACACTACTGTGTTTTTCGGGATGTAGTATCTCATGTATTCGTCATTTTTCTCTAATGGAATGTCCTTCCCAATGGTATCTACAATATTGATAAAGAAAAAATTTTTGCAATAACTTTAATTGAAGCTGGCGATGCCGATTAAGAAAATTATATGCACCGGTGGTGATCAGTGTAAACCTTCTTTGACCAACGCACGAATATATGGAAGAGAAGTCATGTCTTTAGGAGATGGAAGTATTGATTGTCCCACAATTGAATCAAGTTCTCTTTGTGCGCGAAGTTGAACTTCAGGATCATTTGCAATTGCAGCAATAATCCAAGTAATAGTAGATGCTGTGGTTTCCTGTAATGATGAAAAAAATGAATGCGAATCAAAATACATACCGTCCCTGCAATTATCAAACTAATCAAATGAGAAATTTCCAACTCTCGCAGCTCGCCAAAACGCTAGGCACAATTGACATTTTTCCAATGAAAAAGGTTTGTAAAGATAGGATCCAATCATAAATTAGACTTTTAGAGGTGCCAAAGTTGAGCCAATCATGAGTCAACGAAATGAGTTTTAGGTATAAAGGATCTTGGAAGTTTGTTTTCGTGCCATAGAGAATGTTGAGGATTATGTTGAGTGTTGTGTGCTCTAGGTATG